TTCCCGATGCTTCTCGCTCTGGGTTTGGGGGCCACTTCTCTTCTCTTCTTGGACCACCCCAAAAAGAACTGCCAGCTCGCACTTTTTCTCAGCAGAGCACAACACCTGCTCGCATCGAATCTCCCTGTCGCTCAGAGCAGCGATAATATATCCCAGACGCTCCATGTATGCCATATATGCCGATCAATTTGGGTGGTTTGGGGGGTCAATGTATGCCATGCCATACATGGAGTGTTTGGGATATAACTATGTTCTCCCACGACAACCCCGCCTGCACAGCGTTGGGATCATCTTTCAAATTCTTGGCGTGATGCTTCAAGAAGTTCTGGCCAGCAAGGCGAAGGCATTCGCCCACCAAATGGAGTATCGGCTTCGGGGCCCCTTTCGAAGCTGAGCGATCCAGAAATTGGGCACCACCCACCACCCCAAACTAAGGGTCTTTTGTATTTTGTTCATATAGAAAAAAGCCAGAGAGGGGGTCATGTCTAGGTCCTTTCATTTGTCTCGCCCAGCTCCCCATCTTCTCCAAATAATGCCCACGCGGCGCAAGCGGCGCGGACTGCGCCGCGGTTCGACCTCCCACGCGCGGTTCCCGTCCTTCACGTCTTGCATGGTGGCGCGGTAGGGCAAGCCACGAAGCTGCACCGCCGACCTGGGAGGAGAACACGGTGAAAGAGCGGAGCCACCCGAAAAGGACGCCACCGAGAACGCGGGAGCGTGCACGTGAGGCACACGTGCACGTGATGTTACGGTTGATTTCAGGGGATCTCAGGCACCTGGGGTAACCATCTACCTCCCAAGTCGTCGACGTGTTACCTCGGAAGCATGGGGGGTAAGGTGGTCGACCTGTTCGGGTTTTCGAGTTCAAGACCCGTACTTGAAGTCGAGGTCCAGGTCATGTCTAGGAACGACGTGTTTTGGTCTAGGAACGACCTCCAAATACCCTGCCCGCCAGGCATCGTTCACAGCTGAGTCGTGAGTCGGTGGTTGATATCGACCCTCATCTCAAAGCATCCCACTCTGGTTCACTAACTCTTTGGCCAGCTGCTTCAGCCCGCCTCTAAAACCAACTATATAAAAGTTTAAAAGGAGAAGGGAGATCCCAGGTGGGCCAGGTAGCGACCTGGCACCAGGCGCCCAAAAGGCTCCCAACCTGGCACCAAAAGCTGGGAAGCTCACGGGTTCGAGTTCACCTTCTTCACTCTTTCGTGGCTCCGCGTGTGGAAGAGCTGCGGGCAACGGTGCGGATCGTCGCGCCAGACCAGGGCGCCCCGGCTCGTTATCCTCATCCTCCCGCCTCTTTGCAGCTTCCAGTTCTGCAACTGGCCAAAGCAAGCCAAGACGAGCGAACTAGGGGGGGTTGAACAGTTCTGGAATGGCAAGCTGGAGAACAGAAAGGCAAGCTGAGTAGTCTTCGCGGGACACTGAAATGCACGGATTCGCATATCTTGGACACTTTCATGATCGTTCATGATTTTTTGTGTATAAGTTATCAGTGACTTCATGATTCATGTCCAGAAAGACCCATTATATCATATTATATCTTGTCTTCAGGGAGAAGATCACCATGCTATTACATAATATTTCATATAGTAAATGTCAGCTTCGCCAGCTCCTTTCTTCTTTGACTCTGATGCCTAGGGCCGCTCGGAGTCCAAAGACCAAGCTCACCATGCCGCTCACCTAGGGCCGCTCACCCTCCACACCTGAGAGCCCCTGGCCACCCTGCTGAGGCCCCACCTGAGCCACGCAGCCACAGGGTCGGTGCGAATGGGTCGGAGCTGAACATGGGTCGAATGAGGAGGGTGATGGATGCAGCACCCTGCAGGGTTCTGTGAAGTCTGAAGTGGAGATACAAGACGATGCAAATTGGGTTGATCCCAGCACCGGACTCGTCCCAGGTCTCCGACTTGTAGGTTGGGACGAAAGGTCGAAGCATTGAGTACTGTGTTGGAGGTCGGGTAGCTGGTGTTTTGTGTCGGCCTCACACGTGTGTTGAGCTTGATAGACTCGAGGAGTTTGGACCAACTCCAAGTCGAACTGAAGGCAGGAAGGGTGACCAACACGGGAAGCAGGAAGCACGAGTGAAAACGGTCCAAGCTCCATGCTGGTGCAGGTTCATTTCCAGCCTGTCAAATGTTGTGCTCGCGGTGAACGTGCGATTCATGGGTCGTTTCTGGTCTGTATTCTAGAACATGGACCTTCTGGAAGACCTGTCCACAGCAGCTTTATGTTCTGTTAGAGATGCGAATTGTATATTATATAGATTATGCTGCATTTTTGTTGATGTACATTCACATTCTTATAACATGAATCATATACTCCAAGGGCCAATCGGACATGGCCGTCGCCGGACGTCGCAGCTTTCCCGTCCTCCGATCCTCCGCCTCATCGGATGCAGCTTCGAGCTGTGACCGTCGTTCAGGTCGGAGACCCGTTGCGGTCGGTGGCGTGCTGGTCATGTCCAGAACTTCGAGAGGTCGTAAAACCAGGGGGGACGACCTCAAACACCGGACAAGGCCCGGACAAGGCCTCAGTAAGGCCCTGAGGCGACATGTGTGGTTTCTCCCCTTTTCTCCCCTTCCCTTCCTCCTTTTCCCCCTCCCAAAAAGCGGGTCACCCGGCCCGAACCGAACGTGAACTGGCGAAGCTCGTAGCCCCACCCCCTTGAGTTCATCCCACTTGTCGGAGTTTCCACATGTTTCAACATCTGAAGGACTGGTGTTGTTCGGTTATTCCCCGGTCCTTCAGAATCAACGTTCAACGGCCAGCCAGGTAGGGCTTCTGCAAGCCGACTGGCACTTCATAGCGCTTCAATTAGTCCAAAGCACAACGTGGCTTGGCCTATGTTGAACCACACAAGATGTCCAGGCTTTTTGAATCGTGAGGGTGAACTCACGTCCTGCATTGAATCATATTGAAACATTGAAGATGAAGCCGATCAAGCCCAAGTAAGCTGGCCAACCAGCCCAAGTGTCTCCAGCCTTGGAGACTTCGCCTGCCTCCCCCAGCCAGCCGTCCGTCCCCATCAGTCCCACCTCCGACGCAACCCTCGCCTGCCAACACCAGCAGTGTCACCGACTCCTTCCCAGGCCTCACGTCGCTCCATCGCGCGAAGCTCCAGGCTCCGCTCGCTCCACCGCGCCCCATCCGTGCGACGACCACGCCGGGTGTCTAAGCACGGTCCGGTTGCCTTGGCACTTTTTCACCGCTCCAGTCCTGCATGGCCTGTCTCATTGACTCATTGAGCCTGCTTGGAACGGACATGGAATCGATGGTGCTTCACTTTTGGGCTGAGTGCCCCTAGAGATGTCGAAGTAATTGATGGAACCCACGGGGACTCTTTCGTGTTGCCCAAAGCCAGGAACTCCAGACGTGCCAAAACTCACGGTTGCTCGCCTCCGACGGTCCGAAATGCCATACACCTGGATCCTCCAGCTATGCCACATGTCTGCCTTTTTACATGTTTGGATGAAATGGCAAACATTTGCCACAGTTGGAAGATCCAGGTCTATGTTGGAGCGAGCAGCGCAGGCCGCAGTGCCGGGCACCGGACTGCCCCGAGACCTGGAAGATCTCCGGATACTTCTGGAGCCAACTCCTGGCGGCTTCCGCTGGTGTGGCGCCAGCCGCGTTTAGGAGGTACAGATGCATCGCCAGTGTCGGCAGGTGACAAAAGTATATTGAAAAAGTCCGTATATCGTGTATCGGATCGCTATGTAGATGTGTAAGTCGATGTGAATTCTGGCAAACAGTTCAGAAGCTATCTCAGTCCAGCAATGTACAGTGCACCTTCAGGCTAGACTCCAGTCAATTCATGTCAGTTCCAGTCTCTCTAGCTCACCATGTAACAACCACCAGTCTCTCCACCTGCAGGATTAGAAATGGATTCTCATCTTCCAGGAGTCCATTTGGGCGTATGGTGGAAATGGCTTGCGGTCCCGTGGTACTGCTGTGGTGATGTTCCATGAACCCCCAAACCACCATGGCTTCGTATCTTCGTGACCGAACTGGTTCTCCCACGTTTTGGGGTTTGGGGGTCACGTCGACCTGTAAAAGATCACGAAGCTGGCATCATGAGCAAGATGAAATAGTTATCACTATGGTCCTGCACAATGAAATAGTTGTTTTGTGTTGTTATAGTATACATTTGATGCAATAATACGTGGGTCCCCCCCCCCCAGTTCTCATTAGTTTTCATGGTCCTCATCTCCACACCGCTGATACGAACAGCTCGACGGCTCCTGAGACCGCCCTTTTCCTTCACTCCCTGGCGAAGGTTCCTGGCGCGCGGCGTGGCTCGGCGTGGCTTGTCGTGTCGTGTCCCTCGTAGCACCGATGCATGGCGGCGAGCTAGGCTTCAAAGAGGGAGAGAGATCCTGCTTGGAGGGAGGGAGATCCTGGTTGCTGCTGGCATCTGCTGGCTGAGTTGAACCTATGGATCTTTAAAACAAGAGTGATCACGACTTGGGATTAAGCTCTTCCGAAGTAGAGATGAGGATGATGAGGAAGTGTCCCACTCCGCCACACTTCACCACCGGGCAAGCGACGCGACGGCGTCGTTTGATCAGGCAGCTCCCACGTAAAAGGCGGGTAGTGGTAGTGGAAGTTGCAGCATACTGCACTCTTGGTCACCCTGGTATCTTACAAGTGCCTTTCGGAACTGAAGAAGGCAATTCTATAATTACTCTCGAAACTGTCATGCCTTAACTCAAAGTGCAGTCGGACTGACACGCGCGACGCCTCTTTTTGGCTCCGCTCCCCGTGCTGAAGTCCATCGCGCTCGCGCGGTCACGACCGAGGTCGCTTGCGTGGTCGTTGCGAGAAGCAACCTTGGTGAATTGGTCTGCACCCCTAGACCCCCCAAGTCAGGAGATCGCCCGCCAGAATTTCAGGATGGGTCAAAAGTCAAAACATGTCAAGACCAAGCAAGAACCCAGTTAAAACCATGTACTTTGCGAACAAAAAAAAACACCAGATAGGATCAAATAGGTCAATGTTGTCAACCAGCCTGGTTTTGACCCACCAAGTTGAGTCTGGCCTCCTGTGTATCCCCAAAAAAGCGATGCCCAACTACATCGCTCCAGCTCTGCGCTCCGATGAGGCCAGGAGGGCGGCACTCCACTAATCAGTCCAAGCAGGATCGTAGACCATGGGCGAATCGAAGCGCTGTTGCCTGGCGAACATGAAGGGCTCCAAAGAGCCCCCCAAATTGAAGACCAAAGAAAGAAACTATAACAGGAGTTACATGTCGGGGTGCTATCCATGGAGGTAGTCGGGGTGCCCAGAATATCCACTCACTTAGAGACTAAACACCACCCCGACATAATGGCACTGGCACCCCAGTCGATGACTTAGACAGATGGATTGGCGGTCCAAAAAAAAACATGCTATAACTTGGGGATTTGTGCCATCTACTCCTCCGCTTCACTATAGTTGGATGACCCGTGATTCCTCCTCACTTGACTCTGAGTTGAAGACAATTCCGGGTGGGAACGAAAACACAATTCATCACCTTCTCCACCATCATCCAATGGCACCGCGTTGGTGTTTCTGTCCATAATATGTCTATGACCTTGAACCTGAGCGACATTGATCTTGGATCATTCACCACCCAAAGGTCGGTATCAAACCAAAGGTCATGTCTGAGCTCGTCATGGTTCATGTTTTCCTCATGAGACGCGGGTCTCGCACCCCAAGGACGCCAGTCGCTGTTCAGCCATGTTCAGCCATAGTTTTCGTCCAATCAGTTCATGTCTGGACAAGAAACCAACAGGTCATTGCCAGGCAGGTTGGTGAATGGACACCCCTCGACCTCTAAGGGCTACAATAGGGGTTGACCCTTCGCGTTCTGGAGCAGCTTGCAGATGCTTTGGTCGCTGTTCCAGCGACACGTCCAAAAAACAAACACAGAACAAGAGCGTTCGAGGGCGTTCAGTCTGTGCCTTTTTCAAGTACCTGACCTACCAACGACACACAGACGTTCGCTAGGTGTTGCCAACTCCAGGTTGAAGCTTGGGCAGCTAGCTGGCCCTGCAACGTTGACCTCATTCCGAATCATGAATCCACCAACAGAGGTTAAGTGACCTTATAGGACCCTACTGGGACACCTATAGGATAGTCTATAGGCTAGTCTATAGGGTTCTTCAACCTCTGCTGGCATTCATGAATCCATTCCGAATGTCCTCCAGAGCTGAGGATCAATCAAATACCTTCGCACAAATAATCTTCATCCAGCAGAGGAAGGCGTCCCATGGATTTGTTGACTGTATATCAAATGACTCTGATCATTCACAAATGGTGGTGAATCAAGGGCCTCTCCCCAAAGTCTTCAATCATCCGATCCCACTGGTGGCACCAGGGTGTCAATCCTCGGAAGAACACCCACCGAAGCCGCGAAGGGTGGCCTGGAGTATCTGGTGGCAAAGGCGAAGCCCAAATCTGTGGGCTGCGAAAAGGCCACCGTGGCCCCTCCATTGAGCCGCCGCAAGCCTCAGCGGTGGGCGAAAAAAGCAGCGGTGGGCGAGGTTGGTTGGCTCAAGCTAGAGGAGGAGGAGGAGGAAAAGGAACAGGAAAAGGAAAAGGAAAAAGGGTTGAGGGTCACCCCAAAAAGGGTCTCCAGAAAAAAAGGTACTTCATGGGTGAGGAAAGTGCCCCTGCGAAAAGTTGGAAAGCCTAATCTGGTGAATCAGCTCCGTGGTGAATTAGAAGAAAATTTTATTACCATATATAACTCAGTATATAACATTGGGGAAGGCATCGGGGCGCAAACGACTTAAGGTGCCTGAAGAGGATGTGAAGGCAAAAATAAGATCTGGAGCCAAACATGGAGAAGCCACATGACATGCATGTCATATGTCATCCACATCCCACCGGCTTTCATCCACCGGAACGGGTCTTATCGTTCCTGAGAGGTGGAAAGTGGCTAACCTCCCTGGTCTTCATAGCCATCGTCTATCATCCACTCAAAACAGACCAGGACCTTCCAAGTCTGGTGGTTTCTCGTGGTTGCTCCGGTGGCACCTTCGAATCACCTCTTGATGTCGCTAGGCTGGCTATTGAATGCAAGTGATTTTTATAGATACCCCCGAACGGAGGGTCCTGGTAGTTGTGATCAATGATGTCCTTGTGGGAAACCATGGACCTATGGGTTGTTTACTGGGGGTTATCTGCTCTACTAATCAACTAACATACTAAACGTACTAAAAGGATGTAACAGGCAATCCATGAATATTATATATATATATCACCCAGTCTCTTCTCACTCCCCAAAAAAACTGGCGTTGCCCTTCAACTTCCATTGTACGCCTTGCACGCTGACCTGCAACCCTGCCCTCCCTTGGCTGGGTGTCCCCGGCAGTCCACCAGCGCTGTCGCCAAGCCTCGCCGCCGCTCGCGGCGCCGCACCCAGACCAGGGCCACGCCCAGCGAGGGCGGCGCCGCACACCTCTTCGGCGCCTTCTTCGGCGTGACGGTGAGCGCCGAAGAAGGTGCAGGCGCTTCTCGAAGCTCGTGGTTCTCCTCGGTGACTCGGTGAAGCAAACGAAATGGTTCGGTTTAGGACATGCGACCGGGGTCGACCGAGGGGATCGAACTTGGGGTGGGGAGTGGGCCCTGGGCCCTTAGGTGTGTAAGGTGACGTCAAAGGAATTCAAAGGTTGCTGACGTTGTACCGGTGACGAGCTTAAATGGGCTCCCAGTGGTTCATTGGTATGATATCTCTGTAGCCTTCCAAACCCTTTCTAAAATAAAGTTGACCTGGTTTGGTAGTGGTTGTTCGGCTTATTGAGTCAATCGTGGTTGGAATCCTATATAGGGCCCATATATTGTATGATACTTCCAAAAAGATCTAAAAGTGGCAATCGTGTTTGTTGTCGGCCATGAAGACCATACAAACCTGCATTGCATGATGGATGCAGCTGAGTCGCATCTGCAAATATGCTCGGAACCAACGATCTCCGCCCCTCATGGCCTGCCATCTTGGCCTCAACGATCTCCTGATCGCTGGTCTTCGCATTCCGCGGACGCTTGTAGCAGGTGGGTGTCTCTGGCTCAACGATCTCCGTGGTGATCCGCTCCGCGCTGAGCATGCCCAAAACCTCCCGGCCCTTGAGTGCCAGAAGTAACCAGGCGCTTTGACTCGCCAAGGCTTCGATACTGGGCAGCTCCAAGGAATGAGAAAGCTCCCGGTCACGAACCACTTCCTGAGGCCCCGAAAAAGTCCCTGTTTTGGATCAATCTCCAAGGGGATGAAACCTGGAGCCCGACCAGTCCACCATCTACTAGCGAGTTCGACCAGCACCAGGTAGGTCAAGGTCTCCCAGTTCGATGTGCCCGCCATGTCTGTAGGTACGTACCATGTCCCCCATGTCAACTCACTCCCCACTTCCCGAAGACCGGACATGGAACCGCTTGACTTGTTTTTTCGATTCCGACATGGAACCGCTTGGAAAAAGCACCCCAAACGTCAGTAGAAGACCGCAGCTCCGAAATCGTCATCTCTGGGACTCTACATGGGGGGGCCAATCACTGACCATTATCACTCCAACTATCCAAATCACCCGCTCCAAGTGTCCCAAAGCTCTGTGAGTTGCTTCCTCGCTGCCCCTCGCAGCTGATTCGCCTTCAGCCGTACCAGGCGGCATGGCCCCAGGGAGCTGGAGCTGGTCGAGAGGGTCTCGACGGGGAAGGGCCAATCAAAGGAGACGGCGCAGTGATGGAGCGCATCTTCCAAGGGGGACAATCCTTGGAAGAAGTGGCCAAGCCGAAGCCACACCCGGAAGCCCGGAAACCAAGAATTTCTCACATCTCCCGCAGGTTTGGGGAATTCACCCACAGGGGGGGAGAAACAAAAGAAAAACACTCACCAAAAGCCACATGTCCAGTGAGTGGATGTGACAGGGGCACCCCCAAACCTCCAGCATTGTATAAGCACCCCTTTGGGAAACTAAAAACGTCACTGAATAAATGTATCCAAACCAGGACTCTCACACCACAGTCTCGACACACTCGAGTCACTGCCAGGAGACGTTGCGAAGCCTTTTTTTCTTCGACCAAACCACCCCTCACCGCCTTGTGGATGGACGCGCGCGGCTTCTTTCGAGAGCTCGTGGAGAGCATGGCGGAAGGTCGCGGAACAGCGTGTATTGAGTATATGTATTATATGTCTGATGATGTCTTGACCAGCACCGCCCAGGTCAGGTGGTTGATAGACCCCCCTGAAGAGGTATTGTCCATCTCACCAAGTGGTGCTGCCAGTCCACTTGTTCCTACAGCTTTGACCCCAACGATGCTTGTGTTTGACGATTGCCTCAGCACACTTTGGAACAAAGCTTTCCATTGCCTTAGGATGATGATTTTGGAGGACTCGACCAATGAGTTCTCCTGTTGAGCTATTGTTCTGCTCGATTGTGTTGGATCTTTAAATGTCGACCAGGCTTCGTCGGCTTCCTTTCCTGAGCCACAGGAAGCCGCCACAGGAGGTCATCCTGACGTGATGCGGCCACTACTCGAAGCATCGGCCCGAATCAAAGTCCCAACCACAACCCCCAAACCCGCCGCTACAACGCATGCACCCACCGTTGTAACACACGTCTAATTCCGCCACGCACCGCATCCACCGGCCATCTAAACCACCAAAACCTGAAACGCCCGCGCGAGATCAGCTCCCGGACCCAGGCAACAAGGCTCCCAAGTCGGAGAGCAACAAAGAATGCCGTGGGCGACTGAGACCGATCGGACTCTGCGACGTTTCGGCGACCGTGGGCGAGGATCCGAAGGGGGGGGTGGGGTTGTTCGGCCATGGGAGGTGGTGTCTGGGCCTGGTGGAGTTCAACTCAGAGAGGTTTGTGAATAAAACTGAAGGTGGAAGGGATGGGGGTCCAGGGATGGACACACCATGCATCATCATGCATCCACTGGGGTTGTTCGCAAGATACTCCAAGATACTCCAAGTACATTCTTCAGGTGCTAAGAGCCCTCAGATTCTTCGAAACAAGTGTACTTACTTGGAGCTGGTCTGGTGTGACGCCAGGAATTGACACATCTGCTTCCTCCCTGGTCTTTGGTCGGCTAGTCTATAGTAGTCCTTGACCTGGATCTAAAAAAGATCTATTCGGCCAAGGGCCGTCTCTAGAATCTGTATAACCCAGACGCTCTGTTCGCAACCCTTGGTCCCTCAAAACCTAGGGATTGGTTCGACCCCAGACCCCTCCAGAGGATTCGGGGCTGGTCGGGTCGCGTCTGGGAAGTACTCATCCCTTACACTCCGGAGGAGTCCTCATGGGCTATCCACGATGGATGGCGCCACGGTCAGCGGTTCTTCAGAGTTGCTCATCCATCCCCATCGCCATCCACGTCACCAGTTCTTGGGAGTACCCAGACACGACCCGGACCTGGGACTGCCGGACTGCCTTCAAAACGGCTTCCGGGGTGGTTGAAGTCGGGGGATCTGTCAGGGGCGGCAGTCCGACTTGGCAGTCCCTGTTATATATATATATATATATATACCCTGGTGGCACGGTACCTGGCGCTACCTGGCGTTGCAAACGCCGTGGTCTTGCGAGATCTCCAGCCAGGCTGGCCCTCCGGTCGCTCCGGTCCGAGTCGCTTTTTGTCCGTCGTCTCAAAAGCGGGTAAACACTGAATGAATTCAAGTCTGATATAAAACATATATTTAATGATAATATCAGATCTAATGATACCAAATTATAGTGCTGATTATAGTGATATCCTGATATAAATGATATTGGACAACAATTATGTTTAACATGAATGAACCGGTCGGTCGGTAGCTCGTGGTTCGTGATGACCTATAGGGTGGAAAGAAAAAAGGCACGAAGAACGACGCGAAACTCTTCTCAGCATCCGCACTGGGCCAGAAGATTCAAGAGTTGGGTCAGCAAAGACGGCCTCAGGGCAAAGCAGCGAGTCCAGCGAGTCCCGGTTTCCGCTGACGCGGCGAGTCCAGCGACCTGTTGCGCCACGGTTTGCCCTCGCCATGGCCTCGTTTTGGGCTGTACATATCGCGGTAGTGGGAAATATGGAAGGTGAGAAGATGTGACAAGCTCAAGTCGTGTACGTCCTGGAAAAGCATTGGTCTCTTTTGCCTCAAGGTGTGCGGAGACACCAACCCAAACCCGCCGGTCTTCAAAAAACCCTCACTCCGGGCATCCCCGGCTCCAAGGCGGCCTCCAAACCACCTGGGGGGGATCGCCGTATATCGCCGTCCCCCGGCGGCCGAACACCGAGCGTCTGCCGCGCGAGCGAGGCGATCCGAGCGATCCGAGGCGGAGAGGAGAAGAGGAGACCGAGCATGCGACTGGATGGGGTGCGTGGTTTCGGAGATAGTTGAAGGTGTGTCCCATGGATTGTTATGTGTTTCATTGTTTGTCTTTGACACATTGGTAAAGATTAGGGCGATCACTCAAAACAGAACCTGAGAATACCGGGGTTGCAACCTGTACCTCTAGGTGAACTGAGATTGGTGCGATTGAGATGTATTCGGTACCTTCAGGCACGATTCACAACTACCATGTGCATGATGAAAACGTGGAGCGGGCACAGATCCCACCAAGAGTCTGTGAAATCTACCAGGACCATCCTGTCTGGGTGTCCAATGGACTACCCTACCCATCCCTACCCTACTTAGGGATCTCCATTGAACACCCAAACAGGATGGTCAAGGTATTAAGGATCCCTTTGACACTGCACGTGTTATAAGGAACGGCTCATCAAGTCCTTGATGCTTGATGGGAAGCGGAATGCTAGCAAACATCTGGTGCAGAACAACGGTTTTCAGACCTCCTTTAAATCCAGGCCAGCATCAGTGCACCACCCTAGCAGTCAGACATCGAGTGAATTGCGATGATTCCTCATACCATGTGATTCCAAAACCTGCACTTGAACTGCACCTAGCATGTGCAAAGTTCCGCTCCTCATTTCAGCTCTAACACAAAGTTTGCGGTTACAACCCAAACCTGGACCCCACCCCCCTCACCATTGCCATATGGCCAAACGTCCGACCCTTTTCTCTCGAAGGCGATGAAAGTTGGGTTCTGGGAATGCATACCTGTCTAACACCTGAGCATCTAAACTTCTATACTAAACCCTGCAAATTTATTGGGTTTAAATCAAGAAACTCGTGATGTCTTTTCCCGTGCACACACGGAAAACCTCCGTGTTTGTCGGAAAACCCGGTTAAAGACATAAAAGACGAAAAGGTCGCCACCTCTGCCGTACGTTGAGAGCTCACACCAAGCTCACACAGTCATCCTTCGGTGAGTTTCGGTGACCAAAGCCCAGACACTCCATGGGACTGCCATATATGCCTACATTGACCCCCAACACCACCCCAACTGATCGGCATATATGGCAGTCCCATGGAGTGTCTGGGAAGGGTACCACTCATCCTCCCATCCTCGACATCTTTCGACCTCCGCTTTCGCTGAAAAACACAGGGTTTCTCGGACAGGTTGACCGTTTCATGGGTTCAACAATAAGGGCTCAACATGAGCGTTTGGGATTTGAGAGAAGCTGAGTCTACTCCACTCGCAGTGGTTTCTCAGGCTGGACCCACTCATCTAGGATGAAAAGTAAATGGACAAGAATCAGTAACAACTCCTGGTGGTCAGCACCTGTTCCATCCTGCTCCACGTTCCACGTTCCATTCCCGCCCAAAATAGACCCAATAGACGATCATAAACAAACCACTATATACGGTATAGACATACCACCAAAACAGATCGATACCGCAACGCACAACCAAAAACCAATCACCCCGGCTGCACCTGTCCGACTCTGGCGGAACATACCCTGGGCGACTGCGCAGGTCCGACTCTGAACACATCGGTCCCACGCCTCCAACGGCGAAGTCCTGGTCGGCTGGCTCGCGACGCGGGTAACGAGACCGGTCCCCTTTGCGGGAGACCGTACATGTCATGTGGCCGCCTATGCCTATGGAGTGTCTGGGCGATGGGATTTTGAGGACACCTTCCAGAATGAGCTGGGGAAATAGAGATACCTTGCTTCTGAGAAGCCTCGTGAGCTGGCGGAGTTCTTCTTCAAGTCGTTCATCGTTCCATCTCACAGGAATCGATGGCGTTGATTTCTCAAAGCGAAGTTTGTTCCAGCTCGTGGTGTGCGGCTTTTTGATGTCTGTTGGGACTTGGTGCTGGTGTGTCAGCCCTGGTTTTGCATCTCAACAGTTGAACATACCCTCCTGGCCACACTACCCAACAGGTACAGTATACCATATAGTATAACTGTAACATCTTTTACTCCATGTTACATGTTCTGAGGTGACAAACATCTGCGAACTGAGACTCTACCAGGATCCCGTGTTGTCCTGGGAGGGCAGGTCCAATCTAGCAGTGGGCTGGGTAGTCTATAGACAGGACACCCAGACAGCATGACCCGGTCGGTCGTTTCTTCGATGTTCAGCGCCCTTCGTTCCGACCTCGATGGCGTCCACGGTCGCTTCGTCGACTCGTCGCCGAGCTCAGCTGTGTCGAACCAGCCCACCGGAACGTCCGGAGGTCGATCACTCTATTTCGGGCGATTCTAGGGACATAGAAACAGCTAAGGGGGTGTCTACCAGCACCTCCAACAGGTCACCAATTGAAACCTGTTAGGGCCTAACAAACCTCCAAAGGAGACCTGTTAGAAGGTGCTGGTATATATTGTGTCTATATGTGCACCCGAACTCCATGCTGGGAAATAGATGTCGGACCCCCCCTCAAACTTGACTTCGGTTCTTGTATGTCCCAAGAAATCATGTGTCAGACCACCCAAGTTCTGTCTTCGTGTCATTCGAACATTCAGACAGGACCTGTCTGGGATTGCCATCTCTGCGGCCATTGACCCCCCCAGTCCACCCCTGGCCGTTTCGCCAGACCACCACGGTTTGCTCCGATCGCTCGGCCGTCGGTCGCCTTGATGTCTCGCTGGGCGCCGTTCATAAAGGCCTGGTCGACGTCTCTCGAGTCACCGAGGAGGGAGAGGGTCTGAGAGGGCGAAGAGGGGAGAGGAGGAGGGACCGGTGTAGGCCTGGACCTGAAAAAGGGGGTGTCCTGGACCTGGAGAACCCTGGATAGTAGTGGGCTGGGGCTTGGCAGCCAGGTGACCTCGACATGAAGGTGCTGGTATGTCCCAA